TTGTACCGGGAATTGAACTTGGGGCTTCACCCTGGCCAGGCAGGCACTGCACCACTGAGCTACTGATACGGAAAAGTTTTAGATAACTTAATAGATTGAATATTAAGGTAGTTGTAGAAGCAAAATAAGTAATGTGTTCTTTTAAAATTTGCTTTTCCTGTAACTCCTTGTTTAAGGTGAAGATTATCTGACTCTAACCAGTAACTTCATTAACCTAACAAAGTTACCATGCCAGGGTGAATTTACAATGTATATGGCCTATCTTGTGTGTGACTTGTAAATAGGAACTGGAATTGTATTTACATATCAAAGACCATTAGGGATGAGATAATGGCTAAAAAGGATATAAAAAGGGAAATGCTGAACAAAGGGCACGGATATTGACCAGACTGGTTTCTGGCATTCCCGTCTGCTTGCGAGAAGAAATTTTATTATTTTATCCGAATTCCGTGTCTCTGTGTATTTCTTCCCAAGATTTCTGTAACACTACATGCCTGGCCCCCAATTGGTCATTTTTGAGCTTTGACAAAATACTATTAAAGTCTATAAAGAAAAAAAAAATACATGGAAAATGTCCCATTTTTGTAAAAATTATGGTGAAAAAGTACTTCCATTGCCAGATATAAAACATGATGAAAATAGGAATAAAGAAAAACATTTTTTGTTTTGTTTTGTTTTTTGAGACCGGGTCTCACTATGTAGTTCAGGCTAGCCTTGAACTCACTATGTAGCCTAGGCTGGCCTGGAACTCACAATGATCTTCCTCCCTCAGCCTTCTGAGTGCTGGGATTACAGGCATGCGCCACCACCACCAGCCTGAAAAAAATATAGTTTAGCTTCATTATCAACACAAGGAGCTTTATCATGTGTAGTAAAGGATTATATTGTTAACAACTGAGGTTTGAAGTTCAGATTTTGTGCAAGAGTACGTTCTGATGGCACAGCTGCTATAGGAAGTTAAACTTTCCCTGCAAAGGGTCAGTCAACCAATCTGCTGAAGTAAACTGACAACAAACAGATTAATAGGAAAAGAAATAACAAATTAATGTGCACAGGAGCCAAAATCTGAAACTCAAAGAAGGGCTGGATGCTTGAAGCTTGAATCCTCATTTCATAAAGGACAAGAAACTGGAGGATGGAGCAATTTAGAGGAACAGTGAGTGATTTTAGAGGAGCTGTTTGGGCCCAGGGGCAGTCAGAGCCTAGGACAAAGCTCTCTGATCGCTACATGTGCTATTTGATTTCCAGCATCTTCCTCTGTGATGTGACTTTACTCTTCCTAGGTTAGTGAAATTTCAGTGAGAGTACTAAAGATAATTGTGTTCTGTTTTTCAGATTTGATCTAAAATTTAGGTAGACAAGGGAACCCCAGAGAAAGTTTGCCCTGCCTGCCCTTGGATTGGAGGAGGTGGTCACAGCCACCTTGGGTCTGGGGTGCTTTTTTAGTTTCCTTTAGTTCATGTTCAGGGGGCCAAAACAGCACACCACACCTTGGGGTGTCTTTTTTTTGTACCCTGTATTAGCTTTCCATCAATAAAACAAGTTACCTGGGATGATTCACTTACCAAGGGAAAAGGTTTCTTTTGGCTCATGGTGTAGAGGTTCCAGTGCAGGATCAGGCAGACTCATTGCTTCCAGGCCTCTGGTGGCAGAGGGTAAGTAGCAATGGCAGAGACCAAAGTGCTCTCCTTATGGCGAGGAAGCAAAAGAGAAAGGGAAGTTGAGGTCCCACCGTCCCCAATACCTAATACCCCATAGCCCTGCTCCTCCTAGGGTCCACAGTTCCTGCCAGGGGACCCAGCCTCTTGCCCATGGACTTTGGGGCAACACTTGTATCTAAACCATAGCGAGCACCAACACTTGCAACATAATTTAATTTTCAGTCTGTTTATGTCTTAAGTTTCTTATAGGTAGCATATTGTTTGGTCTTGTTTTTTAATTTATTCGGCCAATCTGTATCTTTAATTGGAGAATTTAGTTCGTTTACATTTTAGGTTATTATTAAATAGTACAGACTTATTCCTGGCCTTTTGTTGATTTCTTCCTGCTGCTTTGAATATTGTTTTTTTTTTCTTCCTTTCTTGTTCATCTTCATGGCTTGATGATTTGCTGCATTGATAATGGTTGATTCTTTTTATTTTTCTTTTGTCTATTTACTCTTTTAAGGGAATTCATATTTTCATATGATGTCATTATGGTAGTTCTCTCTCTTGGATTTCTGTATGTAAGACTCCTTTTAAGCATCTTTCGTAAGCCTGGTCTGGTGGTCAAGAATTTTCTCATTTTTTGTTTTTGTTGTTGTTTTGCTTTTTGAGACAGGGTCTCACCATTTAGTTCAGGCCGCCTTTGAACTCACTATGTAGCCCAGGCTGGCTTCAAACTCACAGTGGTCTTCTTGCCTCAGCCTCCCAAGTGCTGGGATCACAGGTGTGTGCTACCATGCCCAATGGAGTTTTTCTTTATTTTAGAGCTACTTATTTCTCCATTTTTGAAGGATAGCCTTGCTAAGTATATTAAACTTGGACAGCTATTATTTTCTTTTGGGACATAGAATGCATCATTCCATTCCTTCTTGGCATGTAATATTTCTGCTCAAAAATCTACTCTTAATGGGTTGCCATTAAATGTGACTTAGTGTTTTTGCAGAGCTTAAAATTCTTTGTCTTGCACTTTTGACATTTTGACTACTGTATGCCATGGTGTAGAGCTTCTCACATCTATTTGGGGTTCTATAAGGGTTTTTTTTTGTTTTTTTACATGATCTCTAGGTATTTTGCAAGGTTAAGGAAGTTTTCTGCTATTATTTTATTAAACATGTTGTCTATACTTTTAACTTTTCTCTTATTGACTTCGGGTATTACAAAGATGTGGATGTCTGTTCATTTACTGATGTCCCATCGTCGTAAATGCTCTAATCCCTCCTCCCCCTCCACTTCCTCTCCCTCCTGCTGCTGCTGGGATATTTCAAAAGATTTCTATTACAAGCTTAGATATTCGTTGTTTTGCTTGATCTAATCTGTTATTGAGCCTTTTGAAACAATATCTCATTTGTCTTATTGAGCTTTTTCCTTTCAAGATTTCTGTTTAGGTCATTTGCAAAATCTCTATCCCTTCACTGAATTTCTCATTTATATTCTGTGTTGTTTTGCTAATTTCATTCCATTGTTTTTCTGATTTTTTTTTTTTTTGGTAGTACTGGAAATTGAACTCAGGACTGTTGCACCAAACTGCATTCTCAGATCCATTGATTGATGGATTGATTGACTGAGACATGGTTTCACTATGTCAAATCTCTATCCCTTCACTGAATTTCTCATTTATATTCTGTGTTGTTTTGCTAATTTCATTCCATTGTTTTTCTGATTTTTTTTTTTTGGTAGTACTGGAAATTGAACTCAGGACTGTTGCACCAAACTGCATTCTCAGCCCTTTTTATTTCTTATTTTGAGACTGGGTCTCCTAAATTGCCTAGGCTGGGCTCAGACTTGAGATCCTTCTGCTTTAGCCTCAGAGTGCTGGGATCACAGGTGTGCACCACTGTGTCCAGCTCCTTCATTTGAATTCCTAATTAGGCATTTCATCTGCTTTAATTTTTTTCTTTGGACTCCATTGCTAGTGTTACGAACTTTGGGAGATATCGTACTGCCTTGCTTTTTTATATTTCTTATGTTCCTTTCTGGAGATCTGCACATTGCGGCTGAGATATCATTATCATTTTTACAGGGTGGCCTTATTAGTAAATGGCTTTCTCCTCAAGATACGTTGTGGGGTATCGTATTTATTATGCAGTGCGGCTTCATTTCCAGCTGGGCACGATAGTGTAAACTCCCTGTAACTCCTTTGGCTGTGATTTGTGAGTTTGGGCACAGTACCTACTACATCAGGATCCTAGAAACGGCTGAATCTATGTATTAGCAAGACTGGGGACACTGTAGCAGCTCAGCCAGGTGTAGCACAGACAGCAGTATGTGTGGTGCTCGCTGTGTGGCTGCTCCTACATGGTAGCGGTGGCCTCTGTCGGGTTACAGGGGTCCCTTCAGGCATCACTGATGCCAGCTCAGTAACTAGCAAGGGCCTGACGCCTGACCCTTGCTAGTAGTGAAGAATCTAGAGCAGTTGTTCCACCAGACAGTGGCATGGATCCACCTCCTCACAGGAGAAAGGCTGTAGCGGGAACCCCAGCTCCTCCTTGTGAGGAGGAGCGCCTCCTTGTGGCGCTCACAGGGCGTCCTAACAGCAAGGAGCAGTCAGACCAGGGGTGATTGTGGTCGGGGCAGCAAGTACTGCGGAGCGCCTGCCCACCGTTGAGATCCTACCCACGGGGCTGTGCCTCGCTCTGGTGCTGGGCTAGGAGAGGCACAGACAGGGCCAGAGCCAGCGAAATTACAGGGAGGGCCTCCTCTGGCTCCCTTCCCAAAGCCAGGCCATTGGCAGATTTCAGGTTACTCATCTAAGTGTGCTGCAAACCTTCGAGGATTCTGCAGGTTCGCAGCAGCTGGGATTCCAGTGCGACTGATGTCACACTGATGTCTGCAGGGACCGTACTTTCCAACTTGGTACCGGCAGAGAGCGAGGGTGGCAGATGTGGCTGTGTTTTCTCTCACCATCGTGTTGCCCCAGGTCTATAATCACTAGGGCTCGGATCTGCCTCCTCCTGAGTCCCCCGCCTCCCACTCCCACCGCCCAGGGCAGCCCTGCACCTGATGCTTGGGACCTTCCTTCGGAGGGGACAGGGTGAGTGCCATCGTAAACCCTAAATAAAACTTCTTATAATTTGCATTGCTTCCCATGGTCCTACTTTTTACACTTGAGGGTGTTCAGAGGAGAATCTGAGCAGAGTAGTGAAGTTCAGTGGAGTTGTGCTCGTTTGCTTTCAATTTTAGCCCATAGCAAGGATCAGAATTCAGGTGGCAGCTATAGGAAGTGGGAACTGGAACACAAGATGATGGAGCTGAAGTAGAAAGGTTTCCGTGTGGTGATTTGATTTGTTTTGCTTGTAGACTTCTGTCAAGAAAGAATCGAAAGCCACAGAATGTGAACTGGAGATGAAATTACTAAGTGAAACGGTTGCAGCAGGTATTCCAAATTGCATTTTCAGAATTCAACTTTATTGAGATTTTCTTCTCACAAAAGTAATGCAAGGTCATTGAAAAAATAAAACTGCAGGCATTGCAGAAATTTAAAGTGAAAATTCTTCAGAGTCCCTCCCTTGAGATAATGTGTTAATAGACTTATTTGCTTTCTCTAATTTTTTTACGTTTTAAAAATTAATTTTATTGGTACATTTTAGATATACATATTGATAACATTCATCATAGGGAATTTGTACCTGTACATGAAATATCTTGATTCTTTTTTCTCATTCCCCTCCCCTCCCTCAACCCCTCTTCCCCTCCTTATTTACAAAAGCTTTGTTTGCGTTTTTTCCTTCAAGTCTTTATTCCTTTTTCCTTACTTCCTTTCCTAATCCCCTCCCTTGTTCCCCTTCCCATTTGAATATTTTCTTCCTGTTTCATAGTATCCAGTAAGCATTTTGGTCCTTTTTTAAAATTTTGGTTACTCAAACCAGAGAAACAATATGATATTTAAACATGTGTGTCCAATTTATTTCACTTAAGAGTGTGGTCTCAAGGTGCATCCATTTACCTAGAAATGGCTCAAGTTTATCCTTTATGGCAGATATATATATATATATATCACACCATATATATTTTTATCACATTTGGGCTTTTTTTTTTCTGGTACCAGGGATCAAACTCAGGACCTAGCGCTTGGGAAGCAGGCGTGGTACCACTGAGCTAAATCCCTGACCCTGGGCTGTTTCTAAGAATTAGTTATTACTAACTGTGCTGCTATAAACATGGGTATGCATATATCACTATGGTATGATGCTTTTAATTTTTTTTAATAATATTAATTTGGGGTACATTTTAGGTATACAGTACATTTACATTTATCATTGAGTGTTTGTACCTGTGCATGATGTATCTTGGTTCTTATTTTTTCCGCATTACCTGTCTGCCCTTTACCCCTTAATTCTTTAGGGAAGAAGAATAGCTGGGTCAAATGGGACCTCTAGTTTTAGTTTTTGAGGACTCTCCACACTGATTTCCACAGTGGTTGCACCAGTCCACACTCCCACCAGCAGTGGAGAAGGGTTCCTTTCCCCGCCCCCAGCCCCGCCAGCATTTGTTATTGGTTGATTTCTTGAAAACAGCCATTCTTTCTGGCATGAGATTGATTCTCAGTATTTTAATTTGTATCACTTGAATGCCGGTGATGTTGAATATTTTTTCATATATTTATTTCCCATTTATACTTCATCTAAGAAATGTCTTTTCATTTCAGAGGCCCATTTTTGGATTGGAGCCTTAAATATGGGGGGTCTGATTTTTTTTGAGTTCTTTACATATTCTAGATATTAGTTCTTTGTCTGAGAAATAGCTGGCAACTTTTTGTTCCCAGACTGTGAGTTATCTCTTTACTCTGTTGGTGGTTTCTTTTGCTGTGCAAAATGGTTTTTAATAAGATGAGATCCCAGTTGTTGATTCTTTGTGCTATGTTCTGTGTGATTGGGTTTTTGTTCATAGTCTTTGCCTACACTGTCTTCAAGAGTTCTACCTATTCTAACTTCCAGCAGATTTAGTGTTTCTATTTTAGTATTTAGATCGTTGATCCACTTTGATTTTAGTTTAGTGCATGGTGAAAGATATGGGTTTAGTTTTATTCTTTGGCATGTGAAAAGTCAGTTTTTCCAGCACCATTTATTAAAGAGGCTGTCTTTCCTCCAGTGAGGGTGTTTGGCCCCTTTGTCAAAGACAAGGTGGCTGAATGTGTTTGGAGTTGTTTTTGCATCTTCCAGTCTGTTCCACTGATCCTCAGATCTGTTGTTTTTTGTTGTTGTTGTTTTGGAATTTTTGTTTTGTTCTTTTGACAGTGTGCTGTTTTTATCAATTTAGTTTTGTAGTATAATTTCAAGTCAGGGATTGTGATGCCCTTTGCCTTGCCTTTGTTGTTCAGAATTGCTTATGCTAGTCTAGATCTCTTCTGATTCCAAATCAATTTTAGGATTGTCTTCTCTAATTTTGTGAAGTATGCCATTCATATTTTGATAGAGATTGCATTAAATCTGTATAACAATTTTGGAGTATGGCCATTTTCACTATATTGGTTCTGCCAGAGGTCAGGGATTTAACTCAGTGGCACCATGCCTCACTCACAAGTGCAAGGTTCTGAGTTCGATTCCCAGTACTGGGGGAAAAAAAGAAAAAAAATGGAAATATATTGGTTCTGCCTATCCAAGAACAAGGGATATCCTTCCACTTTCTGATATCCTCCTCAATCTCCTTTTTCAGACTACTGTAGTTTTCAATGTAAAGGTCTTTTCTTTCTTTTGTTAGATTAATTCCTACATATTTCATTTTTGGATGCTATTTGTGAAAGGTGTAGTTTCCCTATTTTCTCTCTCAGTGAGTTTGTTATTTGTGTACAAGAATGCTATTGATTTTTGAGTGTTGACTTTGTGTACAACTATGCTACTGAATTTAGTTTTTAAATCTAGAAGTCTTTTGGTGGAGTTTTTGGGGTCTTCTATGTAGAGTATCATGTCATTTGCAAATAATGATAATTTAACTTCTTCCTTTCCTACCTTCATTTTATTTCTTTCTGTTGTCTAATTGCTCTGACTAATGTTTCCAGAACTATATTGAACAGGATTGGTGACAATGGACAACCTTGTCTTGTTCCTGATTTTAGAATAAAAGTTTTCAGGTTTTTTCCATTTAGTATGATATTAGCTGTTGGTTTGTCATAGGTAGCTTTTATCAGATTGAGATAAAGACCATCCATTCCAATTTTCTGTAGCATTTTTATCATGAATGGGTGTTGGACTTTGTCAGATGCTTTTTCTGCATCTATTGAGAGGATTATATGGTTTTTGTCTTCAGTTCTGTTAATATAGTGTATTGCATTTATTGATTTGTGTAGTTGAACCATCCTTGCATCCCTGAAATGAATCCTGCTTGGTCATGGTATATAATTTTCTTGATGATTTGCTGCATTCTCTTTGCCAGTATCTTATTGAGGATTTTGGCGTCTATGTTTCTTTGGGAGGTTGGCCTGTAGGTCTCTCTTTTGGTTGCATCCTTCTCTGGTTTTGGTATCAGGGTAGTGCTTATTTCCAGGATTGAGTTTGGGAGCATTGCTTCCCTTTTAATTTCATTAGTTTGAGGAGTAGTGACATTAGATCTTCTCTAAATTTCTTGTAGAATTCAGCAGTGAATCCATCAGGACCTGGGCTCTTCTTTGTTGGTTGGTTTTTAATTATATCTTCAATTTTAATTTACTGATATTGGGTTATTTAGAATATGTCTTCTTGATTCAGGTTATGTAATCCACATATATCTAGGAATCTGTCCATTTCATCTGTGTTTTCCATCTTACTAGAAAACAGGTTCTCTCTAAACTATTTACGAAATGGCCCTTTGTGGAAAGTTTGCTGACTGTGTGAGTCAGCTTTTCATTACTATAATAAGAGGCTGAGATAATCAGCTTATAAAGAAAGGGTTCATTTTGGCTCACAGTTTCCGAGGCTTTAGTCCATGGTCATTTGACCCCACTGTTTTGGGCCTGTGAAAAGTCAGCAATCATGGCAGAGCAAAACCCATCACTTTATGCCTGGTGCAAAAGACAGAAGCAGGAAGGGCTTGGCCCCACAATCAGTTTAAGGGCAAGTGCCAGTAACCTGCAGACCTCCCACTGGACCCCACCCCTTAAAGGGTCTACTACCTCCCAGTAGCACTAAGCTGGGGACTAACATGGGCCCTTGGGGGGCAGCCTAGACACAAACTGAAGTCTGACTGAAGGAAGGAATCAGGCAGCAGTATCCTCTTAATTCAGGAATTTAGTTACCACCCGTGGGCAAGAGAAGTGACCACACTTCAATCTTAAAGTATTTACACACCAGAATTTCACTTGAGGGAAGATGAGTTTTCTACCAAAGCAGGAAACTTGCCCGTCCCGGTTTGTTTAGAATATGCTATTCCAGGGAGCTCATCATTTGTTCAGAGTTGTCTCCAGCCACAGTGAGTCATATTCCAGGAAGGACTTGAGTAGTTTCCCGTAGCACTGTACACCATGGAAGAGAAGAGCACCAAGTGCTTTCTCAAAGTGATGTGGGAATGGGTGAGATAGCAAAGGAGAAGAATCAAGTCATTTCAAAGCCGGCCAAGAAGGCAGGCAGCACTGTATATTTGCAGAAAGCAAAATAAACTGGATTGGGAGTTTGATAAAAGGCTTGTCAAAGAAATACATTCTGTTTAAATCTTGGTAGCAAGAAATGCTTGTGTTCCATAGCTATGCCCTGTGCTGCTCCATTTTTAAGGGATGTTCTCAAAATACTTTACACTCCATCTAGGGACATCACAGTAAACAACAAGTGTGGATTTGCACCCACGCCCTTTGCACACCTCCTGAAAGCTGTTCGCTGTAGGCAGTGCTTTACAGCTCAGGGGCCAGGTGCCACCCTTGCTGCTTGGGCCTTGAGGCCAGTGTTGGGCTCTGCCAACCCTCTGCCATCCCCACCTGTGCACTCTTGAAGAGCAGGTATTTACATTTTACACTCAGGCCTGCATGAGGTCACTTTCTTTGTAAGGAGGATATATCACTTAGCAAGAAACTTAGGCAAATGTGTTTTCTAAGCTTTAAAATCAGCTTTAGAATTCTGTGTGGTAATGTGCAATGCAGCAAAACTACCTTTGGTAAATTATTTATTTATTTCATTGTTTGGTTTTTTATGATGTTGAGTTTTCCTTTCGATAATGAATAATGTGAGTGACCTAGAACGTTGTCCTATTACTGAATTATATTTTGCAGGTACAAATTAAGAAAACTAAGGGAGCATCTGGGTGTGTACATATTTTTTGTTTCACTGATGTTTTTATTCAAAGAATAATGATCACTTTCCACATTTGGCAGTGTCGTGCTGCACACTTGCACAAGGGTGTTGAGACTCAATAAAATTAAGGTTCATGCAATGAAAAAATAAAACAGGTTCTCAAAGTAGGTAGTAATGATCTGGATTTCTGTAGGATTCATTGTGATTTTACCCTTTTCATTCCTAATTGCATGGATTTGAGTCTTTTCTTTCCTCTTTTTGATAATGTTGGCTAAGGGTTTGTCAATTTTAATGAATCTTTCAAAGAACCAACTACTTAATTCATTGATCCTATTAGTCTCAATTGCATTAATTCCTGCTCTAATTTCTTTTTAAATTTCATCTGTGACCCATTGGTTGTTCAGATGGGTTTTATTTAATTTCCATGTGTTCAGTGTTGGGCATTCAGGGTTTACTTCATTTTCTTAAGCTCCTCTGTTTTTTAAAATCTGTATCTTCTCTAGATTCACTAATTATGCCTTCATTATGGCTGCCACCTCTAAAATTATCTGAGAAATTATTTCTGACTTGAGTTTTTCCTAGAGTCTCATTCATTTGCTTTGTTCTTCTGTTGTTACTATTTCAGATAGTCCAGATAGCTGGCTTTCAAATTGTTCTACCTCACTGCTGCTTGGGTTTGCCTTTGGAAAGCTGGATGTCTGGGATTGCATCTTGCTTCTGTGTCTTCTCATTTTTTAATTTAAAAATAATTTTAAGTTTAATTCCTGTGCTGATGCTTATAAATTGTGTATGGTAGGTATCTTTATTGCTAGTATTGGGAACCCTTAGGAAATTACTACCTCTCAGCAATGTCTTCCATGTGTCGCAGGCTTTTGGGTTTTGAGTCTGTTGCAAGATCCTACCTCTTTAATTTATTGAGGATGAGAAATTGCTGCCTATTCGGCCTAGGCCTTGGTTCTTGGCACTGACCTGTGGTATTGTTTAAGACCCTCAGGCCATCTCAGTCTTGGCAAACTTGGAAGAACAACTGATTTAGAACAATTACATCACCTTGGCTAACGTAGTATAATCAGTAATAACAATAGCATCAAACACACCCTAGAAAATGACAAACTGGAAATGATTAATTTGTCAACTTTAACCACAGGAACAAGATCTGTAGTTATATAACAAAATTTAAAACAAACCAGAAAGTTTTATACAGTAAATATCCTCTCAATATGGTGATTTTAAAGGGGTTAGGGGAAAAAAATAGAGAAATAGAACAGAAAGGGTTTAGAATCAAGGCTAGAGGACAAAGGAAGATTATGCAAGCTTTGGGAACTCGTAAAGAAGACAGGAGGGAAAGAAAGAAGAAAGTGTTTCTCTTGAATAAAAACAAGAACAATCAATCAAGAAAAACAGGAAAAAAAATGTCCACTTCAGGGTATATTTCTGCTGTCACTGGTTGACAGGGGAGGCAGACAGAGCCCACATCCCTGTTGATTGATCCCAGCAAGCCAGCAATTGCATTATGGCCGAGATGGACAATCCCAGCAAACCTCAGCCTTTAGTTCCACTGAAGTTGAGGCTGCTTATGGTTTCTGGCTTTGAGGCTAGGATCCAAGGTTTTCAGCCCACAACACTTCAAGTACCTCCTGCCAGCTTCAACTCTGCTTCTTGCTGCCTTGAACTCAGCTCCCTGGCCTCTTGCCAGCTTGAATTCAACTATGTGTCACCTTAGCACTTGGAGCTGCTAGATGGAGCCAACCTGAAGCTGCTCTGAGTTCTGACTTTAGTTGGCCTCTCTCCAAAATGGCTACTGGCCAATTACCTTCTCCTGGGGGCATCTGAATCCAAATAACTCATTAGCCACTGCAGTCTACTGTGTCCATTGCTCAATTTCACTGATATGCTTCTTTGTGGGGGACTCTGGGATCACCAGTAGTCACCATATGTCTGCAGGTTTGAGCTGCGCCTCCCATGCCAGGAGCAGGGGCTCAGGGAGAAAGCACTGCTTGCTACCTCCCTCTTATTCACTGTGTTCCCTCTTGTTGCTTTCCCTGTAGACTCTAATTCTCACTTCAGATCCTTGATGGACCCCGGGGACCCACTTCTTCCTTCCTTCTCTTCCTCACATTGCTATATTCCAGCGTCTGGGTTCCAAATATGAGAGAGGCTGTTTCTCTGCTGCTCATCATTCCGCCATCCTCCCAGAAGTCTGTTGCTTTCTCTAATTCTCTCTCTCAATTTTTCATAGCCATGGGATCATAACACACAAATGTTTTGTTGAAAATTACTGTGCTTTTCTCCACTTAACATTGTATGTACATAGAACACAATACTTACTTTAGATAAATGAACAGTCAACATTGTTATAAGAATGTATTAGTAACCTCACTTTTTTTAGAAGCCGAAAATGTCCATCCAATAACAGAACATTATTTAAATCTCTATTGATAGTAAAGTTATTTGTCATTATTTGTAACCAGTGTTGTCATGAACTTTGACAAGCACACATACACTAATGGGGAATACCTCAACATTTTAAAGTATTTGAGTTTTTGTATTTAGTCTTATCCTGGCAAATAGTCATTGGATATAATTTAGAAATGTGATAGTGATGTTTAACTTGTTGATCGTCTAGTTTGAGATTTGTGTCTGTCTTTTCTGATAACTTCATCACCCCGTGGCCAAAGAAGTCCTGGGCACTCATAGGTAGAGGGAACCCTGACAGGAGTTTGCTGGCTCTGGCCATATCTGTTCCTGTTCTCTGCTAGCCAGGTACTTATGTGAGCTGAAGGATAATATCAAGCTTTTCTATGTGGTGGTCCCCAAATAATATATATCATAGCCATCTAAATTTGGACACAGAATTCTTGCTTTGTTAGGTAAATAAATTATTAAATACATTTAAAAACTGAAGGTACAATATACTGAATGTACACAAGGAAAAAAGGGCAATTGCTTAGCTTGGGTTTTCTCAGGTTATTTCCCTTTACTTTCGGTGCCTGATCTCCATGGGTTAAATTCAGTGCCATCTTCTTGCTTGCTTGCTTTTATGGAAGAGAAAAGTTGTAATAATAATACTATGTGTTTACCATGTGTCTAGTACCAGCTCATTCTTTCTCCAAATTCTGTAAGATAGATACTATTATATCCACTTTATAGTTGAAAAAACTAAGACTAGAGCTGTTAATTAACATCTTGACTAAGGTCACATAGCTCGTAAAGGGTGAAGTCTTTAATGGTCTGACTTCCCTTTCTTAATCACAGCCCTATTTCAGAAATCTTTGGTGAGAGGTATGGACGTTCCCTGTGACATGTGGCTTTGAATATTCCTTTTGATTGTGCACTGAGATTACTGAAAAATAGGATTTCCCAGAAAATTTCTGAACACCAGAGGTTAACCGGTCCAGTTTCTTCACTTTCAAGGCTTCAACCCTATTTTTCTATAAGCTGGTTCTATTTTCGGTTTTTTAAAAAATTAACTTTAATTTCATATATGGACCAAAATTTACTTTTTACCCTTTTTCTCCTTCTGGCTTTTTAGTCCCATGATGTCCAATTTTAAGAAATAAGTTTGGCAATTATCAAATTTTGTATTGAACCTTTTTGCCAGTACTGGGAATTGAACCTGGGACCTTTCCACTAAACTACATTGTCAGGCCTTTTATTTTTTAATATTTTCAGATTTTGAGATTGTAAATTCACTAAGTTTCCCAAGCTGGATCTAACCTTGTGATCATCTGTCTCAGCTTCCAGGAGTGCTGGGATTACAGGCATGCACCACCATGCTTGGCCAAAACTATTTATTATCTTTTTTAAAATGTAATTTTTGTTTTTAATAGGAACACATGCTTATTATATGCCTATTTCTAAAATGTTAGTATGCAGAATATGAAGGAAGCCCTCCCTGAACCCTGTCATACACACTAGTTCTACTTCCAAGTTTAGCTCCATGAATAGTTAATTTTTAAAAAAATTTATTAGTACATGTTTGCAGTACATAATGATTACATTCACTTAGGGAATTAGTACATGTACATAACACATTTCAATTTTTTCCCCTTCCCTCCACCCCATTTACTTTTCCAGCATCAGATCCATTTATTTATAAGACCTTATAAAGTTAATTATCTTATATATGTGTTGAAAACCAGACAAATAGGCCAAAGAAGATAAAAAACATATGAGACAATTGTACTAAGTCAAGGTACACTTTTAGATCCATTGCCCACACTGTATTATAATATTTTTTCTCTCCTTTTTTGAGTTTTTTTCATATACTAGAAACCATGTGATATTTAAACGTGTGTGTCTGAGTTACTTAACATTATGGTCTCAAGGTGCATCCATTTCCTATAAATGACTCAAGTTTATCCTTTATGGCAGAGTAGTAATCTACTGTGTATAAATACCATATTTTCTTTATACCATCAAGAAATCAACCAATAACAAATGCTGGCAAGTCTGTGGTGGGACTGTAAAGTGATACAATCACTATGGAAATCAGTATAGAGGTTCCGCAAAAAACTAAAAATAGAAATTCCATTTGACCCAGCCATTACCCTTCTTGGTTTCTTCCCAAAAGATTTAAAGACATCATAGCACGATAATGTATACATACCTATGTGTATAGTAGCAAAATTCACAATAGCTAAATCCTGGAAACAGCCTATATGCCCAACAATCAATCAATAGTTCTGAATTAAACACTTTTTTAAAAGATTTAGCAGCTATTTAAAACTTCCTTACTAGTATTAGGATTTTTCATTTCACATCTAATACAAAAATGTTGTGGATCTATTTAAAAACTGTATTAACTTTAGCACAGCTGAACCTGATAAAGAATGCTCCTGAAAAGCCAGAAGTCTCTGAAAGCAAGGAGGTGGATTTATGCCAGTTCACCATTCTGGGTGGCGTGTACCACTTGGATATTTTGGAGCTCCCCCCACAGTGTAAACCAGTGAAAGGCTGGATGATGGTGGAGGTATGTAAAGTCTTTAAGCCAAACTTACAAGCAAAATAGTTTTCCCATGTTTTTACCTCATCTCAGATAATGTCAAGCACTGAGGATTTAGCTCAGTGGCACCGAGCCTGCCTTGCAAGTGCAAGGTCCTGAGTTCGATCCCCAGTACCCACGCCCCACCCCCAAAGTCAATGTCAAGTGACCTTTGACCTTATTAAGCACTCCAAATGCTAAATGCAATTTTAAGCCATCTTGAATTTATAGGTATTAAAGATCTGAATCAAATATTAAAGGAATCTAAAACATGGATTTTAAAACTAGACTATGCTAATTGTAAACTTCCAGCACTAACATCTGGAAGTGCCAATTTGGCCTTGATAATCTAGATCAGAGGTTGGCAGTTTCTCTGTAAAAGGCCAGGAGGTGAATATTTTCAGTCTTCTGGGCCAACCAGCTCTGTTGAAACCACTCAGCTCTGCTCTTGGAGTGCTAAAACTGCTTTATGTAAACTAATGGGCACGTGCAGACTCCCTTCAACTTTATTTACAAACAGAGGTGGTGGGAGACATTTCCCAGAGAAAGTTTTTTAAAGGTTTTTAAGGTTTTAGAAAGGTTTTTAAGTTTGCAGACTGATTGGTTGGATCTGTGGTTGTCACCATGTGATCCCTGGGCAACCAACCTCTCTCATCATCGGGGAATTTGCTAGAAAGGCAAATTCAGGAGTCCTGCCTCAAACTTACTGAGTCAGAATCTCCAAAGTGAAGCTTGGCAATCTGTTTTAGCCAGAACTCCCTGAAGATTCTTTCTGATCTCAATCCTTGATTCACAAAGCATGGTTCCTTGAATCAGCAGTAGCACTGAACCAGCAATACAAACATTGCCTTGAAATGTCTGAGAAATGCATCCTTCGTGGCATGGCCTCAGGCTTACTGATCTCTACTTTAACTGGATCCTCAGATAATTCATGTACACATTAAAGTCTGAGAAGTGCTGATCCTGGTGATGCCTTGCTGTCAATGCATGGGCAGTGCTGCATGGTAAGCATGCTGCTGCTGATAGCAATGATCTGACAGATCAGATTTCAAGGAGTTCACACCCTTGTTCCCTAAGTTGTATCACTTCTGGTAGTGTTGGTTTGTTTTAACATCGTGGTGGCTTGAATCTCTCTCTCTCCCTTGTAGCTCAGTGCATAGACAGATTACCATCTTGATCTCACACACAATCCCATACATTAAGGATCTTGTTGCATTCTTGTATTTACAGCTCAACTTTTTCCCCCAGAGTCTTTATAGACATTTCTCCCAATTACCCTCCCCAATAAAATTTTAATCTGCAGGTAATACTTTATATCTGTTTATGTGCTATATGGGCTTTATATGTAAGAGGAGTGTTTTCTTTTTCCCCAACTAATTTTGATATTGCCATTTTTTTCCTTTCTCCCCCCAAATGAGAATGCAATTTATTAGAGAAAGCCTGAGGGAGAGAGACACTTTTGGCTGTTGCCACTTCAGAGAATCCTTTTGAATCTGCCTTCCATACTTGAGGGATACCCAGTGGACAGGGGACAGACTAAGGAAGACTGCCTCCTGATGAAGGCAGGCCTTCAAGACTCTGTCCGTACCTGAGCCAGGGTTTTTAAGGATCCACACAGAAATCTATTACTGTTCTTAAATTTTGTTCTGTTACCAGTACTCCAGGCTTTGCATCTGCACCCAATGAATTCACACCTATTTCTCTCTCCTGCAACGAAACACTCCTTTTTCTCCCAAGGGTTTAAAAAAAAAAAATCTCTACAATTATTTTCTTTGTGTGTGAGAGAGAGAGGGGGGAGTGGAGACAGACAGGGTCTCGCCATGTAGTCCAGCCTGGCCTTGAACTTTCTATTGCAGCCCAGGCTGGCCTCAACTCAGGGCAGTCTTCCTGCCTCAGCCTCCCAAGTGCTGGGATTATAGGCATGTGCCACCACACCTGGCTTTTTCTGTCTTTTCTGACATTTTTAATCTTCATTCCCTAGATCCTTTTCTGCTGCTTTCAAATAATGCACAAAGCTCCCTTATTCTGGGAAAATCGGCTGTCTGCTTTACTTTCACCCACTCATCATCACACTTCTCAGAAGTTGCCTACACTTCGATTACCTATGTGTCCTTCCTGAGAAATCAGAACATGTCACTCAGCGTCCCACAGATCTGCTTGTGCTGTCTCAAAGTCATCTTGTAATCTTTGGCAAATTAATTTCTCTAAGACTTAGTTATCAAGTACAGGCTTTGTGGGATTCCTCAGAGGAATAAATTGATGTTTTCTATCACAGAACTTGCCCCATGGAAGTTCTATAGTTACATTCGAGTTCAGTAATTTTCTCTTCATTTGTCTTTGTTTTCTTGTGACATTTTGTTAGTAGGGACCAAATGACATGCTTATTACAAATTACTTGGTTTATTTATTTTTACGTCTTTAACTGTTACCTTCTAACTTGGTGTTTTCGTCATTTTTTAAAGATACTCAAAGAAGGATTACAGAAATTTACATATCCTCCAGAAATCACAGAAAACTTTGAAACAGAAAATGCTTTTCCGCCTATAGAAGTCACTCTTCAGGTTCAGGAGAAAGTAGCCTTTTTTGAGGAACCTATGGTCGCAAGGTGGGATGCTAAAGGTACAGCAATACCAACTTTTATAATTACTTCATAAAAAGAGGGATAATAACACCAATCCATAAATTGATCATAAAATGTAGTGTGTAAACTGAGTTTCTTGTTTTAGACATATTGACGCCAGCCAGTTCTAGGATCTTTGTTTTCTTTGCTTTTGATAGAAAGGCATAGGAGCTGGAATTTTAAATTTTGTTGAATTTTTGTTATTAGGTTCTAAAATGCCAATATTTTCCATAGCCTATGAATAACAAATTTATGGCTGTACCATTGTTTAAAAAACGAATGAGGGCCAGGGATTTAGCTCAGTGGTTCCGCTGCCTGCCTCGAAAGTGCAAGGTCCTGAGTTCAATCCCCAGTACCAAAAATAAATAAATAAATAAATAATGAAAAGTCAAAAGCATAACCTATCTCACAAAATAACCCAATAATTTGGATTGAGGTGATTCAGATTTATTTTAACATTATCCACCTATAAATTGCAAACAAGTATCAGAGTTGGAATAGATGGGAAACCAGAGAGAGAGGAAAAGTAGCCACTGTATACTACTTTATAACTTGATCCCTCCGCCCCCAACAGGTGATCAAACTCAGGACCTTGCACTTGCTAGGCAGGTGTGGTATAACTTGATTCTTGAACCACAGGAAACAGTTACTTTTGCAGACTATTAAATACATATTAATAAAAACAGACGTACAAGCTAATGATTTGAAAATCATTACCAAATACCTTTTATGGTAGGATGGCTGAATTTTGAAAGTTCTTTGTCTTGTGTATCAAGTTGTGTGGTTGTAAGAAACCCATGTGAAAGTTATAGGACTTTATTTTCAGAGTTGCTTTGCATCCATTTGTTTGTGAGGGATTTATATACTTGGTGATACACTGGGAACAGATCCTCAAGGCACAGGTCTCTCATTCTACGTTTTAGTCACAGGGACAGATAATTTATAGGAACTTCTACCAAAAGGCGTAAATATTTTGTAGTTGCTTATGAATGCCCCAATGCTCCAAAACCACAATTCATTATTTATATTCTAGAAATAGTTTGAATTAAAAATTAGTACCTTCTCATAAACTATGAAATACATAAAAATGAACAATTATGTAACTTTTTCTTTCATGTTGCTTTAGAGGTGCTGATAGTAATGTCCCTAAATACCACATTAAAAATGATCCACATTGAGGCTGGAGATTTAGCTCAGTGGTTCTGCCACCTGCCTCGCACGTGCAAGGATCTGAGTTCGATCCTCAGTACCAAAAAAAAAAATGATCCATACTAAATTAGAATTACACAAGGTAATTTATAAATGTCTTTTGCAGAATTTGACTATGCAACTGTACTGATTAGTAATAATTTACAGCCCCAGTAATTTTTTTAAGCTATGGGGAAACTTTATCAGGAAATACTGGGAGAATTTCTTTGATAGGCAATAATATTAACCTTTACAAATTGATTTTGTTAATTACCAATAAAAAGAGAAATAATAATTTGCATGCAATTGCATTTGTTGTATTAAATTTAAGAATAAAACCTAGTCCGTGGAACCCTCCATGTGAGAAGAGGGAAGAGCCAGGTAGCCATGGAGACTGGATCTAATGAGACAGTGCTTCACCCACTAGTCCTATAAGTATGTGAAATGAGGAGACATAGGGTAGAAATGAAACATAGTTCCTCCTTCCGGGAGTTCTCAAAGTCACGGGAGAGGCAGCCAGGGAAAAGATCAGATGCTATGCAGTCAGGTACTGGAACAGACAGGCCTAAGTTGCTGCAGGGCTCAACAGTGACCTGGGTTGATCTCATAGGATGGGATATTGAACAGGGCCTTAAAGATGAAAAGGACATTGTGTGTGTCTGTCTTTGTGTGGACCTCGGTTTTCAATTCTCTTGGGTAGATACCTAGAAGAGGAATAGCTGGGGTGAGTGGTAAATTTATGTTTGAGAAACTGCCAAACTGTTTCTTCAAAGTCAATGGACAATTTTACATGAACGTTTTCATTTCTCCACCTCCGTGCCAACATTTGTTATTATCTGTCATTCTAGGGAGTGGGAAGTGGTATGTTATTGTGGACTGAATTTGTACTTCCTTAGTGATGAATACCAGTGAACATCTTTTTATGTACTTATTAGCCTTTCATATATCTTCTTTGGTGTGATTTTATTCAATAAGTTTTCTCACTTTTAAATTAGGTTTTAGACTTTTCCTATAAATGCAGCCATACATGTTCTTTTGTGTCTCTTACAACTCAAAAAGGGCCAAGTTTTAGAGATAGGAAGTATATTAACGGCAAGCTGCCTGGGAGTGGGAATTGACTGTGAATAGATCTTATTTTGAACTTCTGATATAATCAGATTGTGTTTATGGTTGTACAACTGTGTAAATTTACTAAAAATAATTGAAATGGTATACTTCAAACAGGTGAAAAGCTGTTTAAAAAGAGGAAGAGCATTTCTCTAAAACATTAGGGGAGAGTATTCTAGGAAAAAAAGGACTGCATGTACAAAGGCCCAGAGAAAAACAATGTTGTTGGGAAAGGTACAAAAATGGGGCTGAAGGGCTGGGGATTTAGCTCAGTGGTTCTGCCGCCTGCCCTGCAAGCGCAAGGGCCTGAGTTCGATCCCCGGTACCAAAAAGAAACTACACCTGAACGCCATGCACTAACAACCCACGTGATTCCCTTCAACAAAAAAAAAAAAAAAACGGAGCAGGGTGGGGGCAAAACAGGTCTGGGAAATGGCAAGGAATGGAAGGAGAAAAGTGAGTCAATGCTTCACTCTGAAGGTCTTAAAGACCGTGCTGTGAGCTTGGTCTTAATCCTGGAGGCAGGGAAATGCTCAGGGAAGGTGGCTTTTTATTAAGCTTTTCATCCATCCATTCATTCATTTTTATTTATTTTGGTTTTTTGAGACAGGCTTTCACTATGTAGTTCAGGCTGGGCTTGAACTCACAGCCATCCTCCTGCCTCAGCCTCCTGAGTGCTGTGATTACAGGCGTGTGCCACCCCACCCAGCTAGATTTTATTCTTAATGTAAAGGATCACTGACATAGATAGCTACATTGACCTCATTTTTGTAGGAAAAAATGAAACTGATGTCACTGTTCATTTACTATAAAGGTAAATACTGGCGAACTGATGGCATTAGTGACGTGTATTACACCCCAGAAAAAAAACTTATATCATTCAACCTGGAAACCTTTGGCCCTGTTACCTTGATGCAAGACACTCATATTAACATGCCGTACCAGTCGTGGGAACTACAACCACTTGATGTGAATAAAGCACTTCTGACTGTGACAACAGTATTTACTGAGATTCAGATACAAATTAAGGTAAGTTCCTGGTCTAGCAAGTCTTTGGATAGCATAATGTGTTGAAACAGTCATTGATTTATATATTCAAACACAAGCACTTTATAATTACATATAAAATCTACACTGAGCTATTTCTAATTAAGATACTAATTGAATAAATAGGCAATAACACGTGAGTAGTGAGGGTCACAGTTGTCCCCTGAAGTTACTACAGGTAGACCAATGAATAGGCCAGCAAGCCTGGTTTAGTATGCATTTCAGTTTTTGAGTCACCCTGAAGTGGCTCCATAATCATCATCCAAGCATTTGAAATTCCCTCTGAAGTTGTTCTCTCTCTAAATGACACTACTGTTCATCAGTCAGAAAATATTACAGAGACAATATTAGATTAGTGATTGCCTGGTGCTGAGGGTAGGAATGGAGACTAACTGTAAATGGACATATGTGATTTTCTCAGGCAGAATGAAAATGTTCTTAAAATGATTTATGGTGATAGTTATACTACTTGATAAAGTTTCTCAAAATGATGGCATTGGGGCAGGAGGATCACTGTGTGTTTGAGGCCAGCCTGATCTACATAATGAGAACCTAACCTCCCCAACGACTGCATCGTATATGTGAAATGGTGAATTTTGTGCTATGTAAAATGTATCTCAATGATTGTTTTTATAAAGACAGCCTAGAAGTCTTAATATTTATCAAACTTTGCTTTTAAAATTAGATGGGAGAGCCAGAGCTTAGGATTGTCAGTGCTACAAAGTACCTTAAAGCATTTCTAATCTGCCCTCATGGAGGGAAACTGAGGCCCAAAGTGGTCTGGAGTGAAGTGGCCTTCCTAATCTTGATAGTGGTGCTTTCCCACAGTATCTCAGCTGCCCCCAGTACCCGGGCGGCAAAGATGCTTTCTCTAGGCTAACGGGAAGATATAAACACTGTTACAGTGTTCGTTTATTAACATGGTTATGTGTTTTCAGGTCAGATGTTAAAGATAGATCTGTGCCATCTAATGTGGTAGCTACTAGCCCATGTGGTTATTGAGCTCCTGAAATGTGACTAGTCCAAATAAGTGCTATGATTTAAAGCACATATTGGAGTTTGAACAGTTGGTATGAAAAAGCAAAGTGTTTCATTAATAATTTTATACTGATTATACTGAAATATTTTAGTTAATATCAAAATAGATGAGATGTGAGCTCCATACACCTTTGAATTGCTACTCTGCCAAACCTTAAAATTGGATAATTATGCACCACTGTGTTAAATTTTACATGTGTTTAAAACATTAATCCCAAAAAGTACAGTCGTAACTGTTTTTAGTAGTTATTTTGACTCATTCTTGCAGCATTTGATGCATCATTCTTAGGTCATAACTTTTATAATAAAAGGAGATCTGAGAGATTAATCTAATCCCTTGACTGTTCAGATAAAGCCTAGAAAAAGTTAGCAAACTGCTTCTATGGTAACGAGGACTTGGTGGCGCTCCTCCTACATCCACCTAACACATACCTGTCCTGCATTTTTTTTTTTTTTTTTGTATCAGGGATCGAACTCGAGACCGTGTGCTTGTGAGGCAGCAGCAGAACCACTGAGCTAAATCCCCGGCCTCCTGCATTCATTTTTAATATTGAGTGATAAAGGCTAGACCTGGAAGGATACTAAAGTAATAATTTAACTTTTTAATAAAAGCTTCTTTTTTCTTCTTTAAACTTAGGAAAACCTCTGCATGTTGGCGTCAATCAAAGTAAAGGACAAAGGACCCTGGTCTGTGTTGGAAGGAAAGTGGATGACTCCTATTCCTTTCATTAGTGCTCTGAAAGAAACTGGGCTGAATATCTTCCCGACTGCATACTCTCATTTTTATGTTGTCATAAATAATAAGGCAAGCGCTGCTCTTTCTGAAATTAATATGGTGGGCATTTAGAATGTTGGCAGGTGTTAAATTTGTATACATTCACTACCACATGATTATAGTTAGAAAAGAAAAAGTGAAAAGCCCAGAAAAGCCAGGTTCTCTCAAGTTTAGTAATCTTGCCAGAGAATTAACCCTATAGTATGATCTTCAAGTTGATAAATGCCACATATCGAGAGCTGGTCAATTCAGTGCAGAAGTAGCTGAGTGACTTCTCATTTTATACATTTTTCTACGTTTGCATATAAGACTTAAGAGAAAATAACTTTGTACCTTTTCAAACATAGAAAGGCAGGCAAAATGAAACAGACAAGGACCACCAGAGTCCTCCAAACCCCCATCTTTAGGTTTCTGACAAAGCCTCCGTGGCTGCTTGCTGCTTCACAATACAGGGTTTAGTTAAATTAGACCCTTCCTTATTCACCTGGGGGCTCCCGGAGCTGTTTTTTAATCAGTTTTATTAGCCCCAGCAGACTCCTAGAATGCAAATCCTTAGTGAACCTTTGTGATATTGAATGAAGGTACAAAGTGCTTCTAATCATGGAGGATATGTCCCTATCCCTAGGCAAAAGAGTTCTATACTCAACACGTTTATGAACACACCGGAAACTTGAGTAGCAGTACAGATGGACATCCATAGAACATTTGGCAATAATCATAGAGCTAAGTACGCACACAGGGGAAAAAAAACTCCTTGATTTTAGTAACTCAAACTCTGTAGTGACTATAATGTTAATGTAGTGTCCTGTTTGTGTTTTCAGAATATTCAGTAATGTTTTTCCCAAATAGCTATAAGTTGAGCACTGTTTTAGATGATTAGGACACATTAATGACTAAAGCACAGGTCCCTGCTTAGCTTGGAGCTAAGCTCGTAGTTTAGTATCAGAAGGTGAGTGGCCTGGACAGTGCACAGTTCAACCACATGTGTCCTGCTTCGAGAGGCTGGACCCAGAGCCCTGAAGGAGTGGTCTGGTGTTCACTCCCTGGAGGGGAACTGGGGAGCCAAGGCCAGAGAGGCGAAGGGGTGTGGAGAGGCGGCAGCTCCCAGAGGGCTTTTCTGGACATCACCTTTGGATTCTGCTTAGAGGAAGGGAAAGCCCGTGCCCAGTTTTGGGAGTCTTGCAAGGAAGCCCCAAGATCAACTATTTGTTTTTATATTGGCAGGTTCCGTTGGTGGAAATGAAAGCTTATCGGCAGATGGCCCTGCTGAGTTCTGCTATTGCCTTTGGGTGGAGCAAGTGGAATACACTATGTGATTCTACAAATGTTGTGTTTAAGGTAGGGTATCTAAAATCCCATAAAACTACTTCATCTTTCAAAAGAAGACAGAGTACTCAAAAACCAAATGGAGACTACAGCGTTTTCCTCTTTTAAAAATAAACAATATTCAAAATAGTATTTTGAATTTTCAAAAAAAATTTTTAGCTTTGTCTGTCAAAAATATTAAAGCCAGGCCAGCCACTTGCCTAAAGTCATACCTACTTAGGAGGCAGAGGCAGGAGGATGGCAAGTTTGAGGTCAGCTTTGATAACTTAGTGAAACCTTGTTCCAAATTAAAAAATGGAAAGGGTTAGGAATGTAAGACCCTGGGTTTAATCCCAAACAAAAAAAGAAAAATGTCTCCAACCTATGTAAGTGGTATGCTTGTGACTTCAGGCTAGAGCTATGGATGCCTTTAACATAGATATCCTTGCATACAATCACAGAGACTCTCCTCTAACACATTTACCATTGCCTGGTAGAAAAGATACTGAATTCTAAAAGTTGACTGATGAATTTTTGTGTTTTGTAGTACTGGCGATGGAGCCAGGGCCTCAGCATGCTAATGAAGCACTCAAGAAGTTTTTAAGCATAGTTTTCTTGCCAACTGTCAAGAAGCTTATATTCGAGCAGGGGAAACTGTTTTGTTGCTGTAGCTATTTATTAGTATATTTTGGTGTCCTTGTTTCCTTTTTTTGCTGTTATATGCCTAGCATGTGACAGGCACTGAAATGTTAGTTGTATGAATTCATGCAGGTAGAGGGCCGGGGATTTAGTTCAGTGGTGCCACCACCTTCCTCACAACCACAAGGTCCGGAGTTCGATCCACCGTACCAAAACAAAAAGTCACTGAATTGGATTCATGGGCGTAGAAAAACTCCATAAATACCAACATAGAGTTTTAGAGTTTAAAAACAATTCAGTAATGGGACCTTAAGAATGTTTAACTTGGGCAATTTGGGGGACTGAACCCTTCAAGTGATGAGTAGAGGGTGAACTGTTAACATATTTTTCTAATTTTCTTTTCCTTAGGTGAGAGAGCACCTGACTGAGGAGCACACTGACATCCCTAACTGGGCCCTATTTATGTTCAGTGGGGACAGAGCAAGGAGGCTCAAGATAAACGAAGAGAGCGAGTCATTCTCTGAAGCGCTTGGAGAAGAAACTGAGTTGCATTCCACTTTGTATCACATGGTAAAGGATTTTGCTTCCAAGGAAGCCATAGAGAAAGTCAGAAGTTCCAGCTGCCAGTTTATAGACTCAGTTTGCCACATGCTTCTCTCTACCAGGGTGCTCAGCTATTCTTAATCTCCACCTGCAACTACAAACTACTATCTTGGCCAGTAAATCCTGCATTCCTCAGTGCAGTTAAACAGTGGGGTTTTTTTTTCCTTGACTAATTGGCCTATTGAGAAGTTCGACTTTCACTATAGGAAGAATTGAAGAGTTCTTTATTTAGATGCATTGTAGAAAAACATTAAAGCTCATTAAAACATCCTCCTTTGTGTTTCATAATTGGGGAGGTGACCACAAAAAGTGGGGATGCAAAATATCTTACAGTTTCTCCAAAAACCTGTGATTTTGTGTTCTACTAAGGGAAATCCCAGCTAAAAGTTCCTAGTATGGAAAGTTAAAATCAAGACACATACGATAGGGTTTGCTGCAGTCACACCGGTGGTGGCCCATGGTGTTGGAGTCTGGTAAATGGCCACAGGATATGTTCTAGAGATATCCAGGAGTCCCCTTCCTGGGTGGGAGCGGCATCCACAGACTTCTGGAAAAAGCGGCCCGTGAGCAAGCTCATGAGAGCTGCGAACAGTACGATGAATGCAACAGACAGCCAAAGAGCCTTGTTAGCCTTTCTTACGGAGGTCCCGAGATTTCCTGCCCACGTGGCCAGTGTGTGAGGGCTATGAGGAAAACACAAACGGAATTTGGCAATCACAGTAATTCATTATGAGAAGCCCTCCTTCTGCTGTCACCCCCAATCTCCTCATTTATCCAAACCACCACCACTGCCTTACCACCTACATAGTAGGATTTAGCCTCTTGCTTTGGGGCATGATCTGCACCTACCCCTTATAATGATTGGAATTCAGAACATATGCTTTAGGAAAATTATGTGATTTTAGGCACTAATTCCTAATAAGTATTTCATTCAATCAAGTAAAGTAACTTTGATTGCCACAGTGGAACCAAACAGTATTTCCTTGGTAGAGCAGGATACAGGTGTATGCACTTATGGACGTGTATATACGATGTCACATTGTTCAATACACCCTGTCCCTCTGTTGTGCTAAAATTTAAACTATTTCTTTAACTCCATGCTACTATCATTTAGTCACAACAGCAGCACAATGACATAGGTAAAGAAACTGGAGCTTACAAGTGGCTGTACCTGCCCAGGTCACGTAGCTACTGAGACATCTGGCATCTGCATCTAAACTGTATGGTGCCAGGGTCACATTCCTAACACTGTAAGCCCTCCTGCCTCTTGTAAAATAGGTCCCAGGATAACTGTAGCTGACCATACAAGTTCCATTACTCATTTTAAATATAACAATCTGGCATGTCTTTGGTAAAGAAATTGATGAGTACTCTTCTCCCTGTGTTACCCCTTCCCATTCCAATAAATGGTATCATAGGGCAAGGAGGCAACTTACACGGAAGAGAGATCCCACTTTGATGGATTATTTTTCCTTTCAGAAAGGCTTGGCTTCCTCGTCCTTTCGACTATTTCTTCTCCAGGTGATTCTGAGTCATCTTTAGTTCTGCAAGTAATAAGCATTGTTTTTGGATATTTTTAACCGATAATGTGCCATAATTATTTGGTGAGTTTTACTGTATCATTCAAGAGGTTCAGGAATATCTGTTTTACTATCTAAGACTCCAAAAGTTCTATCACCAATTTTATAAGAATTTTAAAATATTTATGTAGAAAGTTGGAATATTAACCAAATACACAAAAGGGGAAATTTACAAAGAACATATAAAAATTAGTCTCACCACTCATATACATGTATTTAACTGTACATTAAAAATATGGATACATTTCTTCATTTTTGTACTTTATTTGAAATATAGTAAATTTTTTCTCGTTAAATATTCTACCACATTGTTTTGGGTATTCTGTTTAACTCTGGTCTCTAATATTTTTGATTAGTGTCAATTTGGGATAAAAATTAAAGTGTCACTTCTGTTTCTCTAAAGGTCTTAATTTTAAGAAGGACTTAGGAAAATACTCTATATTAAGCTAAGCTAGTTGAAGTAAACTATTATTCCATGGATGGGGACTAACAATTTGATTAACTATTTTCAGTCAAATGTTTATCCAAAGAGCTGTTGCCCTACTTAAAAAAAACTGCTTCATTATCATATTCATTGATGGTCCCCCTTTGGGAGCTGAATTTTTAAATCCTTAGCTTTTAATACCCTCACAATTGCCAAAGGGAATTGCATATCAATTTTTCAGAAATTGATACAAAACATGAGGTAGATTGAGTTTTGTTTTTTTTAAAAAAACAAGGCCCAAAAGGCAAAATCAACTACATTCTTATATCTTTCTCAGTCAAACTTTCAGTAGAAATCAGACCATAAGCAAAAACAAGATTATAAACATTAAAGGAATGTATTAGTTTTTTTCTCCCAATTCTGGAAAAGATTCATTATGATGACTAAATCTGAACTTTGCAACAGGTTCCCAGGATTAAAACATGGATGTCTATGCTACATTTCGGGTATTGTTTGTAAAAATTATGTAGATGGAGATTTTACTTCTGTGCCCTCCCCCCATGGCAGACACTTAGGAAAATAAAATCTTTAAAAATCTGGCAAATTCTAGGATCTCTTCTAAGTTAAAACCTCAAACTTGGCTGTTCTGAGAGCTTCAGAAGTGAATGCATCCACAAATAAGAGTACTTTACAGTTTATGAAAGTCTTTCACGACGAATGTTTTTGCTGACACAGCATTAATTTCACCTTTGTGAAATTCACCTCCTCGTTCATGCCCCAGCTCATGTCAGTTTAGTAGATACACCCAGCTATACCTACTTTAGTTCACACCTCTCATCTTCAGCATCTGCCCAGGAATAGGTGCTAATGAATCGATGTAACGACGGGCGGTGTTCACTCTGCTTTGACCCCAAAATCCGCCTAAATAAGGAGCATAAATAAATCAGTAGCCATTATTGATTTATTTCCTACTGCTTGAATCAGCACAAAAATTCTATGTTCTAATTTTTCCTTGGGACATTCATATAACTCCCATTTCATAATTTTTAAACTTTGTCATGTACCAATTTTTGTAATTTTTTATATTCTGAACAAATCAAGTTACTATATATCACTTATTTCAAAGGCCTATTTGCTATGGTGCCATTATAAAATAGTATGATTCCCAAAGAACAGCCATAAAATCACACTCACCAACTGCTTGATCTTCTACTGAATCTGTCATTTTCTGTTGCAGCCACCTTTAGAAGTTCAGATGTTAAAATATTTAGTATTTAGTGAACTTTTTCCTTTAGTCATATGAAAGTGAACTTATTTTTCATCAAGAACACATAGGAGGGGCTGGGGATTTGGCTCAGTGGCACTGCGCCTGCCTTGCAAGTGCAAGGTGTTGAGTTCAATCCCTGGTAACAAAAACCACCCCCCCCCACACACAGGAATTTGCTTACCATTCCTGCATTTCCAATATTTCTGGGCAAAGAGGCAATAGTCACTCTTCGAAGAGAAGATGGCTGCCCAAAAAGGGAAAATGTACATTTAAAGAACTCAATATTTTGTCTTTATCTGCAACACGGATGATTATCCGTGTACATACATACTCATGCATTTGAGCACTGTTGAGTTAAACAGTAGACATACTTTGAAAGACTGTTTCTAGACAAATTGTCTTTCAGAACTATTTTACCAATTTATATTCCATTTTATGCAACATAAAATTTTAATTTCTGCCAATGAATTAAGAATATAAAATTTCTTATTTGGGTATTTTTTTGACCTCTAGTAAAACTGGACATTGTTTTTCTGTGTTGAAACCATGTATATATCTGCTCTGAGAACCATCTGTTTATGCTTATGACCTTTTGTCCATATTTTATTTTGATGGAAGAAAATGTTTGCTTTCTTAATTCAGCCAAAAGTCACTTTCTCCCTTCTGCTGTAATTTTTTGTTAACTTAAAAAGATTCCCCCCCTAGCTAGGTGTGGTGGCACATGCCTGTAATCCTAGCACTTGGGAGGCTGAAGTAGGAGAATCATCTAGAGTTCAAGGCCACGATGAACTGCATAACAAGATCCTGTCTCAAAAAATAAAATTTTCTCCCAACTCAAGAGGAGATAAATATGCAACTACATTTATAGCTTTTTTTCATAGTTTCATTTTTTCACTTAATACATTTAAGGTTTCATGGTTATTTTTTATTTTTAACTGATACATAAAAACAAAAAATGTATTAATGGGACACCATGCAATGTTCCATGTGTACATTGCATAATGTTTAAATCATTTTCAACGTTTTCTCTAGCTTCTTGAAATGAACTGTACATTATTGTCTATAGTCACCCTACTATGCCATAGCACACCAGACCTCTTGGTCCTACCTAATTATCTTAGTTCCTATTGATCAACCCTTTCCCGTTCCTCTCATCATTCTATTCTCAACTTCTAGGACATCAATATGTTTAGCTCTATAGATGAGATGCCATGTTATTTTAATAAGTGGATGTGTTTATAAATCGGCCTTGAAATGTGCACAAAAAGTGTTATATGGTATTTTGTGGTTTACAACTTAAGGTGATAAAACTATTTTCAAATATAGTAACCAATTAAAAAATGTTTTGCATGAATCCTTAAACTGATATCCTAATTTCATAATTAGTTGAGCATCCCACAAATGTCACACTGCAGTTAGAAAAAGCTGGTTTTTAATCATAGTTCTATCACAACTAGATCAGACTAATCACTTCTGTATTTCTCTCTTCACTCATCTGTGAAAAAGATTTAGATGGAATGATTTTAAAGTCAGTTGCTCAAAAATTTTGTAAATCTGTGGAATCCTGATTTTCAAGCTATTGCAAAAACTGCTGGTGGATCGTCCACATCCTATTCTCCTCTTGGATTTTAGTTAGGCATATGGCTTCCAGAATAAAAACTGTATTTTTCAGTCTCATTTTCCACCAAGAATGAAAAGGAAATGCCACACTGGACTTCCAGGAAGCATCTTTACAGGGAAGAGAAACATTTGCCTTTGCTGCTTACTTTGCCTTGCAGTGGTATTGGATTTAAGAGCAAGGACTTGGCACCTGGATCAGAGGTAGTGATGTCAGGCCCTGAGGAGAAAGCGATGCCTGATGGTAGTGAACGAGCAGGAAAGGAGGAGAAAGATTTGTGAGGAGTTTGTGCATCTGCTATGCCACTGTCAGATTGCCTCTTTCCAGTGTGTGTGTATACTGGGATTGATTATTGAATCCAGGGCCTTTGTACTGAGCTATATCCTCAGTCCTTTTAAAATTTTACTTTTTGGGTGGGGGGTATTTTTGAGACAGGGTCTCACTATGCATCCCATGCAGGCCTTGAAATCACAGCAATCATCCTACCTCAGCTTCCCAAGTGCTGAGATTACAGTCATGCACCATGACACCCAACTTTTTCTTTCTTTCTTTCTTTTTTTTTTCTTGAGAACAAAATCTTGCTAAATCACTAAGTTGCCCAGGCTGTGCTCAAACTTGTGATACTCCTGCTCAGTCTCCCAGAGTGCTGAGATTTCAGTCATGTACTACCACACCCAGCTACAAAATTTGGTTTGCATGACAAAATAGTGCCATTGCCATACTAGCTTTTGCCATGCTGCCAAGCACATGACTAATATACAAATACAGCAGGCAATATAAAAGCATACTCCATAAACTAGGCAAATACACATATCATATACATGCATGCAAATTAAAATCACTGTTTTGTGATTTTCATTTAAAGGTATGTAATTTCAAATAGTTACAAAAATTGTATTGCCATCAAATACTTCACCGACATTAAGTGATGTACTAAGTGAACTAGTAATTACCTTGGAGTTCAGAGAAGCCGAACGCTTTTTAATCTGGCAGTCATCTGAAAGGAAACACATTTGTATACTTTAGAAATCACACGTGCAGTTTATGGTATTGCACTGATCTTAATTCTTTATAAAGTAAAGCAAAGGTGAGAAAAGATTTATTTAAGACTCTAGACTACGGACCAATACATTTATGTTGGTGACTCATAACAGTTACCACCTTCACTGGTGGCATGCAGTTCTGTGTCACTAAAGATGTCCACAATGTTTGCTGATTGCCCTAATTATCAACTGCTGAATAAAGGAATCCATAGAATGAGTATCAAGTATGGTTACTTTTCTAGAAGTCAGAACAGATGATTAAAATAAGAATTCTGTTTAGAAAACTTTGTACTATTTAAAATAAAAATACTGTAAGATTTATAGAAACCATATGTTTTGATTTCTTCCTGTGACCTCATTTGTCTGTTTTCCAAACCATAAATCAAGTTTATGGACCCTTGCCAGGGTCACTACTTCTTTGAAGAATACAAAACCACTGTTGCTTAGACCGGCTCATTTAAGTTTTTGCGCCTGACTATGTGCAGAAAAAGTGTCCATACTAACATAGCATTAATTAGGCAAACAATAAAGTCAACTTGATTTGGATTAAATACATTCTCGGTTGAAGAAATCTCCCTTAGCCTAAGGGGCTTTTTCAAAAGACAGACACATTAAGAGCATGAAAAAGGAGAATGTTAGAAAATACAACTAATACTATTTAAATTTGTATTACCTTCATCTTCAAGAGGGTTAAATGACCTCTCATTCTGCAAAAGAACCTGCTTCAGTTCTTCTAATTCAGCATGCTCTTTGGCATACATTCTCTTTAGGTTTTCTACGTGCTGAATCATCACTTCAACTGCTTTACTAACCCGGCTCTCCTATGAAGAAAAAATAAGAGCAAATTTACATTGAAAATACTATTCTTGGGGGCTGGGGATGCAGGATGGAGCACTTGCCTGGCATGCCTGAGGCTCTGGTGTTGCATTACCAGCAGAGAGGAGAGGGAGAGAGGGAG